CAATCATGTGCTGAAGATACCATAGGGAGAAAACTAATTTCACTCACTAAATTCAAGGGAGGGAAGAATTACCTTAATTATATCCACACGTAGGGGCACCTGCTCTTCAAGTAGTTTGAGTCAAAATACTAGCCGTTTTTGCAAAAAACCAGTCAAGTACACACGGTTTTTTTTAATGCCATTTCCTGAAAAAGCCCAGCCGGTCTGGGGGTTAATATCAAATGAAAAGCTGTAAGAATGAATTTCAAACTTCTGTAATAAGCAGCTCCCTCAAAACCAGGAGACAAACAGATTATATCCAACATGGTAATTGACTGCTATGAAGACAGTTTTGTGGATTTTTAATTCAGATTCTAAGTAAGTTATTAGAACCATTGGTTCATTGGAAGTCCTCCACAGTTTTCGAACAGACTTATTAGTTTCTTTCCTCTTACTTTATTTATGGAACTGCATCAGTTATTTAAAACAGGAAACAGTTTTTATCCTGTTTTAATGCTTAAAACTTTATACTATTGCATTTTAGCCAGTAAGCACTCACAACAGACACTGATAGCAGAAGTAGTTTACCCTGATAGCAGAAGTAGTTTACCCTGATAGCTAATTAACCCTGATAGCTGATTACATTCTTAATGTATAACACAGGATCTGTAACAGTAGCAAGAATATTCTGGGAAGAACTCGGGTTAAATTATGAACTTTATTAAGTGGTGCAAGTCCATTATGCTTTTCTCCATTACATTTATTTAATTTTTTTCTGTGCTACAGAGGCCTGTAGTCAAAACATATTCTAAGACAGCAGACAAAGAATGGTTATTCTTAGAGAAATTATTCTAGATAAGAAAAAGTTTCCTTATTGCCATTGCCAACTGTATCATTTCATCCAGTATCAAGAGAAAGTCATGAGAAAAGAAACAAGAAAAACTGTACCAAAAAATTCATGATATGGCTTTAGCAAAAAAGTACCTTAATTTATTTCAATTTTGGCTTCTTCTTTTAAAATGGTTCTCTGGTGAACACACACTACACTTCATCACTTTTCCCATCCCTCAAAAATGCTGCAAAAATCTTTCTGTATTCTTTTCTGCTGAGAATCATTTGTAATTCTTTGTTGAATGTCAGAGCTTCATAACATTTTTCCTTGGAATGGAATTCTTGACAAGTTTTAGTCTTTAATTTTGAAAATAAAATAAAATAAGGAGCTAGTTCGGCTATGTAATGATGGTGCTATTTATGTTATTATTTGTCGAAAAATATATGTTTTTAGAAAGATTTGTGGGTGGCCTTATTGTCATGTAGGAACCAGTTATGGTTGTGGAAGAATATTAATCTTCAGCAGTCTATCAAGGTCTTCAGAATATAACAATTAAAGTCAATGTTACAGTGAAAGAGTTGACTGATTAGAAGGAACAAACTTGCCATAGTTTATTTGACTTTGAGGACAGTGAGCGAGGACTATCGCTCTGTTTATGGATCTTGATGGAAAATCCAATTATTATCAACCACTATGATCTCTTGCTGTAATTTATTTTTGGCATTTTCAAAAATAAATAATTAAAATTTGTGACTTGCCTACTACAGAACAGGAAGCAATGGATTATTTTCAAAGTTATGTGATCTGATCAAAAAAAAAAAGTATACAACAACGGGTACCATATGGTCAGCTGAATATGGCCGACAAAACAATAATAGACTGAAGCTATTATCTGTGGGAAATTAGTATTCATAATTCTTCAAACAAAATTTCTAGTAAAATCTGAAGACCTAACAAAATAGCAGAAACCAACGAAAGCCTTTTTCTGAAGCCGGCTGGGTAATGATTGTTTATCAAATAAAAAGGCGCCCGTTCCTTTTGAATTCCATAGAAACAACTGAAGCAACTTCAGCAGGATCTCTGCCGATTATCATGTCTTGATGGGAGGCAACTTTCATGGTCAACTGGATAATGCAGAAGTACCTAAAATTTATATCATTGCTGAAATTCTCAAGAAGCTTAAGATGCATGTTCATGCAGTGTTAATCATTAGCCAAAATTAGAGAAACAAATTTCATTTCAATGTGGCACATGTTCAGATTTTCTGTTAAAAATCCTCTATGACTTACTCTAATGGCTTCTGTGAGTTCATGGATTTTTTAAGTGTCAATTTACATACATAAGTTTTCAGTTTTTTAACATTTTCAGTAATTTCATCATCCTGTATGTTTGTTACCTTCAAATGAAACTGAAATGTAAGTGCCCTTCAAAAATGTCTAAATAATTAAAATCAATAAGCTATACAAAGCATTTCAAGAGTTTTGTTAATAGATTTACCAAGCTCTTTGCAAAATTTGGTGCAAAAATGTGACACAATTTTGTTATCCATTGCTCACAAAATAAATCAAGAAGTCAAAAAAGTTCATATACCTCAATATTAAAAGTAGAAATAAGCAGAAAAATTGCAGAATTGTAACTTGATCTAACTTTTGCCTTTTCATTCAACGAGATGGATGTGATAATAACTACTTTCTAATTGCACCTCATAGCATTCTTACAGAATTATTAGATTTGCTATTGAGTATAACAAAATTACGACCAACTGCACAGAAGAAAATATCACACTCACACTACCCCCCTCGCCCAAAAATTCAGTTTCGATAATCTTTTGCAGTTTCTGTTACTGATGCTAAGTAAATTGTAACTGCTTCAGCATACCTCGAAAGGCCACACTAACAAATTTAGTATCAAAATTTTGATGTCTCACCTTTGGCAATTCTCTGACTTGAAAAAGAAATTAAACTAGATCAGTACATTTTTCTTGACGTTGATGTAGATCATTTTCATCAATCTACAGCAAAAAACAGTCTTACGCTTTAAGTTTTCCAATATACATATTTTAATGTGAAAAACCATCTTTCATACCGTAGCAATGTAAAGATGGATAAACTTGCACAGCTCTTTGGTATAAAATACATGAAAAATCAGCCCTGTCTTTGCGAGGATTCTAACTTCAGGTTGCTAGATGAACACGCCACCAATTACACCATATTTTTTTAAAATTACAATCGTAAGAAATCAACTGCTCTCAGGATTTGAATTCCAGATTGCTAGCTAGATGTATTACCAATTACACCATGACAGCATGAAATGCAGGAAGGCAAAAATTTCTTATATGTCACCTCATTTAAAAGGTGAAAATGCAGAGAGAAGACTAAACAGTCAAATCAGATATTGCTGAAGTATCAGCTGTCACATTTTAATTCCATGCCACTTTAGAAACATTACAATTTTTAGAACTATAAATGTGAGAAATCAAATTTGCAGGAACTGCAAAGCGAAAGCATGAATCATTGTCACACAAGAAAATTGTTTGCTTCAAAGTTCAAAAGTATAAGTAACAGAAAATGTCTCCGTCTTATTTTCCCTCCAAATTATACAACCATCATTCAGCCAGTGGATATCAAAGTGCTGTGCGAGCTGAAATGAAGCTATGAAATAGCCTTTTTAAGATCTGAAAGTTTCCGGACAGTGACAAGATCATTCAAAAATTTTTTAAATACTTTCACATAAAAATCTGTGTGGAGGTCAAGGGAGGATGTGTCTGCAGATATTTTGAAAAATGCTTAGCATAATTTATGGCCAGCTACTATATTTTCTGATGATGATATGTGTGAATTTCAAATCCTTTGGATATCACAAGTGAAATGTGAAATTTTGCAACTTATGGAATTAGTGAACAAAATGTGGAAAACTGATAACAAATAAAGATGATATAATAGAAGTTTTGATTGTGATGACAATGCTCCAGTAGTCAATCAGCTAACAAATAATGAAATCTTTAGTATAGTTTTAAATCCAGAAAATGCCAATTCTGATAGTGAAGAAAGTGGGAAGGAGGTTGCTGAGAATTAAAAGATTTTGATTGAGAGTTTAAATGGAATTCTCGACAAGTCTTGAACAACAGAGCTTTTAAACTGAACAGGAAAATATACCTAGAGTTGTTTTTAATAAATTTTGATTAAGGTCATAAAAAGTTTAATTTTTCATATTTTTAATTTTATAATTTCTATATTATCTTATTAGATTTAAACTAATGATCTAAAATCCAGAAATGTCCAAATTTTGGAATTCGCAAAGTCCCAATGATTTTGGATCTCAAATTCTGTATTTGTATACATAGTTTCTGTGTAAATAAATTATTAGATCATGAAAAATATGATTATTCTTTATAAAAAGCACTTTCATATTGGAGTTAAAAAGAGTAACATATAATCGTATGTTTTACTTTACACAAAAGAACAACACATAATAATTAGAAAGTTAAATTACTATCTGTCTTTTCCACATTTTGAGAGCCAACATAAAAATGGATTACAAGAACTATATGACAGCTATATATGCGAATATTTTTTAATAGATAGAAACTTTTTTAAAACACATGTAATTAAAATGCTGCAAATACATCTTTCCAAATTCCTGTAATGGGCAAAACTCCACAGGGATAAGAATGATTAAAAAAAATTCTCACTGTCTGAGGTCAAATGAAGTGACATTACTTTGAATTCATTCAGAACTAGATGTTCAAAGCTGTGTTGGCAAAAGCATAAATGAGTGCAAAATACAGCCTTGCAGTCTTATGACTGTATATATGACTGATAATGAGTTTCTAGGAAAGATCGGAAAAACATTGATAATTCTGAATATTAAATGATGGCAAAAATAAAATTAATTTTCACTGACACTGATTATTTAGCAAATATTAGTCTACTTATATCTCACTCACAAATTTATTTTTTAAACAAAAAGTGGTATGATGCTTAGAGCTCCATTCTTCTTAACAGATTAGCTCACAATCCAAAACGATCAGGAATTTATGATCATTTCTAGGCGAAGAACACCTCATTTATGTCTAATTTCTGCAGACATTGTAACTGCAGAAAACTGTTGTGGTCTCTCTTAAAAAAAAAAAAAAAAAAAAAAAAAAAAAATAAAAAATAAATAAATAAATATTAAAAGGAGATTTTACTTTAGCACATATACTTGCAGCGCTAACAACAGGATAGGTTGCATCTGCCTGTTTTGCAACAGTGATTTTCAAGTCAGGGAATATGCTGGATAATTTTGATTGATACTTCTCTGGTTGGCCAACAGTGTCAACATATACCTGAAATTAGATACCACAAATTTATAAATTATTAGAAAATTACTCTTGAATTACTTGAAATATTTATTTAAAAAATATTATATGGATAACTTGTAATATTACTGGGTTTTATATTAACTTATTTTATGATGTACTGTATTTATTTGCATGTTGTCCTCTCTCTCTACTAAGTTTACTGCTTGTAGACAGAGAGTGGAAAAATTTGTGGTTAAAGGACTGATCAATTTCAGTAATACTCTTTTTACTTACACAAAATAATTTTCTATTTGTGCATCCTTTAAAATTGTTATTATAACTCAGAACTTTCCAAACCACACGCTGAAAACCATATGGTAGGGGGGGAATTAACGAGGAAGAGAAATATGCAAGTAAATATGGTATATATTAAATACGGAGAACTTACAGCTATAATATTTATTAACTCTTTAATGGTTTGACTCAGATTATCTTGTTCTTTTATGTAGGCTCCTTAATGGTTCGTCATGGAAAATTGTCATTTTAAATATACCCTCGAAATTGGTCTCGCCAGTATTTTTGTCAAAATTAAAAGGACGTCGAGAATGCTAACCCAGATTTTTGTCTTACTCTCACCCCCAAATGCCTAAGGAGACAAGTGTCCCTCCAACCATGACGGCAATACGCAATGACCCTCAATAGCGCAGGAAGAACTCTTCTTGATGTTTTATAATAAAGGCCTTACACTGGTTCTTAGGAAACAATAAATTTTTTACCAGTTACAAAGTGAATAGAAGAGGAATTAAGAATTTTTTTAAAGTTGTTTAACAAATAAAAAAAGAAAAGATTTTTATAGAATAAGCTTTTATTTATAACTCACAAAATGATTGATAAATTAAAAAGAGAAAAGTAATTGATACTATTCTGTAATCAGGAGGGATTCAAGAATGTATGTATGCATGTGGGTATTTGTCTCATTGGCATATACGTGTAAATACATACATATGTTTATACATATAATACATGAACACATTCATTCATATATACATGCAATACATTTTTTAATCCGGTCTCGATAACAAAAGAGTACCGTAATTTATTATAGATTAATAGGAACAAGAGATTAAATAATATTTTTTACAAAATTCATTTACAAATTTGTAACATCAATAATAATAATAATAATAATAATAAAAATGGGGGGCCCTAGATATATTTATAAAGACTTGTATTTTTGACATTGCGATTCAACTATTTGATTTCGTTATTCAAGTGCCTACACTTTTATGATTCATGATATAGATCACACATGAATATTGTAATGAGGTTTAATTAATCTTTTGTTCCCATTAAAATATGCCATAAATTATTTTTTGCTTTTAAAGAATTTTATAAAATTTTGAATAAAGCTTATTTTATAATACTTTTTTAAAAAAATTTTCTTTTTAGTCTTAATAACATGTTTTCAATGAAACTTTTCAATTGAAAAATTATTTTTCAACAATGAATAATAATTTTTTTTAACTTCCAATAATTCTCTCATCTCAAATAATCGAAAACATTTCCTGACTTTCAATAATTCATCTAGAACTCAGAAGTTACTTTAAAAATTTCTTACAAATTTTATTTAAAAGAATATTTTATGTTGGAGCAAACATTAAAATTTTGAGACTTTTGTTTTGTAAATGAAAATATGTGCAAAAAATCATGTCAACATTAAATTAAAAAAAAAAAAAAAAAAAAAGGAATTTTATAAAACTCGTTTTACCACATTGTTTTATCATTTGCAATCAATATGTTTACAAAATTTGAACTCGATAGCTTATCAGGAAGTAGTTTAAAAATCTTTGATAACCTTCTGTTCATAGTGACAAATACCATGAGTGAACTAAATATGTGCTATTTCTATGCAGAAATATTTGTTCTGTTTGAAAGCGGTCATCAGAAGAATTTTCGAATATTTTTAATTACTTGAGTTATATAACTACTTGCTCATGAGAATTGCTGACAGTTTGTTATAATTAGCTTTTTTAAAACATTTTTTTGCCTCTCCCACACTGAATGATCTTATCACCATTCTGATGAATGGAAAGTTATGAAAACCAAACAGCACCAGTCTATGTACAATGACAAGGCCATCCAAACTATGTGCAATGACAAGGTTATTCAAACTAGTATGTACAATGACCATCATAGGAAATATTTTATTTTTAGTGCACCTAAACGGCGCACCCGCTGAAAATTTAAGTTTTAAAGACGTAAACGCTGCGGCGTTTCTTCCGGAATATTCTTCTTCTTCTTCTGTTAAGTATATCGAATAAGTGTACTTCATTTATTTATTTATTTCACTTATTTTTTTTTTGTTGAAATTATCTTGCATTAGTATGTAGAAACACTAGGATTTTTTTTAAAGCAGGAAACATGAAAAATTTGCAATGCCCTCGCTGGGACTCAAAACACGGACCTTTCAATGACGCGTTGAGTGTGCTGACCAGTACACCATGAAGGCATACTAAGAAGGTGGAAGAAATGCTTTATATAATCCCCCTTTTAATGGGCGACTGGGGATTAGGGGAGCCAATCACCAAATCCCAGTGGTAAAGAATCATCACCTACCACCTTTTTTTAGTTCGGGCACCACTGTAGAGACACTAAAATTTTTTTTAAAGCAGGAGACATGAAAAATTTGCAATGTCATCACCAGGACTTGAATGCCGGACATCTCGAATATGCATTGAGTGTGCTGACCATTACACTATGAAGGCATGCTAAGAAGGTGGCAGAAATATCTTATAAGTATACTTCTTTATTTTCAAATTTAGATTTACAAATATAGTCTGAACTTCCGAACCACCATTACTTAGCTTTTGGCAGTTAATGGTTATACTTTGTGAAATAGCTAAAAATCCTGTTTGGTTCATACCCCTAGTCAGGAAATATCTCCATGACACACTACTACTGCTTCTATACAGATGTTGAAATACAGCTTCAATTAGTGCTAAATTTGATTTGTAGTAATATTAAAATATTTAGTAATCCAGGAAAACTGATCACTAGGAATAAATTCAATACATCACTAAAATTCATCTTTGTGTCCATGTATTCATACTGTGGATTTTTTGCACAGTGATATTTACGACCAGAAGAGGGAAGAAACATTTTTACTAGTATTAGAAAAACTGAACAAAGCACTTCAGTGTTTGACATTTATGAGTGACTCTGCTATCCTAAAATCTTAACTGCTACAAGGACCAGCAGGCAAATTATCTTCGCATGTTGGCTAGATTTCAAATGGAAATGCAAAACATGCCTTTTTTGAGGGGAAGCAAGGAAGAAGCATGGAGATATTTTCGCATTCCTAATCCTAAGAAAGTAGACAGATATCTGCATATTATTTCACCTGCCATCATGAAATAATAAAAAATCAGTACCAGAAAAGTAAGGTTGAAAAACAAATTTGTTAACATAAATAGAAATTATTTTGAAAGCTGTACAAACAGGAAGATAAAACCCCAAAACATTATTTTTTCGCTGGAGCAAAAAGTGTAAAAATTCAGCGATGTACTTGAATACTTCCTTTTGAATTAATGTGTAAATACCATTTTGACTTAACATATTTAGAAAGTATATAATATATATTGTGCAAATTTGGCTTTTTAAAAATTTGATCCTTTAATAAGTGTGGATAAGGTCACTGAATCAAATGCATCTTGTTTTCACAAAATATCATTTAAACTTTTATTTTAATGTTTCTTTTTAAATCATTTTTTAAGATTTCTTATTATCCTTTACCAAAATCAACAACCATCAATTTTTAGAATCTATTTTAAAAATTTGCATTGTGTCAATAGTATTTTATGTTAACATATTTAGTTACGTGCATAAATTATACAGTTATCAGAATGGGCTTTTGTGTACTTGATGCTTTAGTACAGTTACTGAATCAAATATGCTTTTCTCTTTGTAAAATATCTTTTAAATATTGATTATAAAGTTTATTTTTTCTTAAAACCATGTTTTCAAGAAATGGAATGTATTTATCTTACAATAAAAAAAAAAAAAAAAAAAAAAAAAAAAAAAAAAAAAAATGTTATGCAGCCAGTTTATTAAATCACCATGAACAGACATCGCGGAGGAGGGAAGCCTTTAATCCAAAAATATGACATGCCATGTTGGAAATTCTTTCATCACATTTATGTACATACTTTATAAGTACTTTAAGTTTTACTAACATTTACTTTATTTTAAAACCTTACTGTCCCCTCTTGTTTTCCACTTACCAGAATAAATGCGGTTAGTTTTAGTATGCAAAGTGAGCTTGCAAACTGTTAAGTATTTAAGTTGTGACTTTTAGCCAAGAACGAGTTAGAGAGAAAGACTTCATGCGCACTTTCCAGTCAGTTGCTATCCCCTTTAAGGCCAAAATTTAATCCTCTTGATACTAAAGGCGTATTGTTGTTTTCCCGCATTCTGCGTACTACAAACATAAAGACTAAAAGGCCAATCTTTGCGTTACTAATCTTTGTAAAGTATTTGAGTTTACAAATACTTTGTATTTGAGTATATAGTATTTGAGTTTAGCTCTTATTTTAATCTAATTAGTTTTAGTTCTTATTTTTATGTTTAACACCATAAATACTGGTCTTTGTACGGGAACAGCTGTAAAACTGTGAAGAATAAAGAGTAGTCAAACCCTTCCCATTAGTCTTGTATCTTCTGCACTTGAACGAACATAGTTTAAAGTAAACTGCCTGTTCCTGCTCAGACTCCAGCATGTTTGCCAAAGCAATTAGAAGAAATAGTAGTCCTGATAACTTATGTTACTTTTATTTCTCATTTGACAAATTACAACATTTTTTCAAATTTCTCAAATATGAAATTTATTTTTTCTTTTTTATAGATGGAGTAGGTACATTATTATTTAAAAAGTGTTAATTCAGTTATTTCAATTTAACAATGCACCAATCGTGGAGGGAATAGAACTGTTGTACACTGGTATAATTTGTCCAGAGTTTGTATCTGAGCAAACGAGCTAGCTATAGACC